ATACACTGGGTTTGAACCCAGCCCCAGCCAGCTAAAACAATGACAACTACAATAAACAATAGCCAGGCATTGTGGCGGATGCCTGTAGTCCCAGCTACTTGGGAGGCTGAGGCAAGAGAATTGCTTGAGCTCAAGAGTTTGAGGTTGCTGTGAGCTATGATGTCATAGCACTCTACCGAGGGCAACATAATAAAACTTCGTCAAAAAAAGGAAAGGCATTTTGGCCAGAGAAAATATATGTACACACTTCTTGAGGTGTTCCAGGGTGTGGGGAGTGTGAGACTAGCCCATGAAATCCTGACTTATAGGACAAGGAGCTCACACTTTGGCCCAGAAGTAGTGAGAGGCAATATCTGGGTTCATGGTGCCTGAAGACCTGTCCTTGACTCTTCTTTGCTCAGTCTGGAGGAGCCCCCTGCTCTGTCCTGTCCTTTTACCATGGTCTTTAGCCTAGGCTCCCATAGTACCCTCAACAGGGACCTCTCCATACCCAGCTCCGTGGTGTATGGATGCTCCCCCCTGGTGAGTCCTCAGTGGGGTCCAAAGGACTGTGGGGAAAAACCAGCTGTACAAGGAAAGATACTCCTGGGAGTGGCTGGATAAGACCATGTGGGAAGGCCGGGTCTGGTGGTTGACACCTGTAATTCTAGCACTCTGGGAAGCCAAGGCAGGTTGATACCTTGAGCTCAGGAGTTTGAGACCCAACTGAGCAAAGTGAGACCCTCATCTCTACTAAAAATAGAAAAAGTAGCTGGGCATTGGGGTAGGCACCTGTGGTCTCAGCTACTTGGGAGGCTGAGGCAAGAGGATCTCTTGAGCCCAAGTGTTTGAGGTTGCTGTGAGCTGTGATGATGCCATGGCATTCTACCCAGGGCAAAAGAATATAACTCTATTCCCCCCCCCAAAAAAAAAAGAAAGAGAGAGAGAGAGAAAGGAAGGAAAGAAGGAAGGAAAGAAAGAAAGAAAAGAAAGTAAGAAAAGAAAAGCAAGCAAGCAAGCATATGAGAAGATGATCAGAGAATCTTAGGGGTCCCACCTCTTTTTTTTTTTTTTTTCTGAGACAGTCTCACTCTGGCACCTTGAATAGTGTACTACTGTGCCATGGCATTATAACTGATAGCAACCTCAGGTTCTTGGGCTCAAGCGATCCTCTTGCCTCCGTTTTTTCTATTTGTTAGTAGAGATGGGGTATCGCTATTGCTCAGCCTGGTCTCCAACTCCTAAGCTCAAGCAATCCACCTGCCTCAGCCTCTTTGGAGAATTAAAGGGGAAGCCTGTGGATATGTCCGGAGGATAAAAAGATGAACACAGCAGATATTAGTCTTGCCCTGCCTCTGGAATTGGGCACCTCCCAGGGGAGTGGAAAGGGTACTGGATCCTAGAGTTTCCACCTCCCACCAGATCCCGAATGGCACCTGGGAGCTGAAGTCGTGTTGCTGCAGCTGGCGGCCCTCGCGCAAGTCCCAGCAGCGCACCGTGTTGTCCAGGCCCCCTGTCCAGAGCCGAGTGCCATAATCAGAAATGTCGATGCAGCTGGCACCATCTGTGTGACCCTGGAACTGCCTGGAGGGAAAAGGGCCCAGGAGTTCATCTACAATTGGGATTGTTTCAGCATCTTCCCAGGTCACCCCACCCCCACCCCTGCACAGAGGGCAGGCAGGGGGTTGCCAAGGTCACAGCACTGCCACCACCCACCTGACCATAGTCTGGTTTTGCAAGTCCCAGACCACAATGTTGCCATCGCTGCAGCAGGAAAAGCAGACCTTGGCGTCAGGGCTGACTGCCAGGGCATAGCAGGCCGGGGCTGAGGAGGTCAGCTCGGCCTTGATGCGGGGGGTGGGTGCTGCCAGGTCCCAAATGGACAAGGTGCTGGCCTCGCCCCCTACGATCAGACTCCGGCCATCAGGCAGCAACTTGCAGGAACGAATATAGTTGTCTCGGTTCTGGGGCCACGGAAGGAAGCAAGGACTGAGGTTGGTCCTTGTTCCCTTCCAAGTTAGTCAACAAGCCCCATCACTATTTACCTGTAAGCTCTGCCCAGGTTGGCCCGCATGCCCCGTTCCATTTGATCATAAGCTCCACCCTTCACCTGTAGCCCCGCCCCCGTGTCCCGCCCCGCCCTCACCAGGCAGTCCAGCTGGGCTACCGGCGTCTTGGCGCCAGGCTGGCCCACGTCCCACACTTTCACGCAGCCCTTGCCGCCCGTGTACACGTGCTGCGTGGAACCGCTGATGGTGACCGCGCAGACCACCTCGCCGTGCGCCAGGGTATGTAGCTGACGGGCGTGCCGCGGGATACCTGCGCCCACCAGCGCGTCCGAGGGGAAGGGCACAGGCTGCATCTGCCCGTCAGCGGACACGTGGAAGGAGTAGGCCCTGGACAAAGGCAGGGGCGTGACCCAGGCTCAGGGACTGCCCCTCTGCACCCTCACCCAGGAGGGCAAGGAAGGGCCTTTGCCCTGCCTGGTACCCTCTGATGCTCTTAGAGAGGGGCAACAACATGGTGGCAGGTGACCTAGGACAGGCAGTGCAAAGGCAAAGGGTCTGGCTCTTTGCCCTAAGCAGCAAACACCTAATAAATGTCTGAACAAAGGATCCACGAAGACGCCCTGAGAGTTCCCGAGCTTAGAACATACTGCCCAATAAGAGCCTCAGCCACATGTGGCCAGTACAATTTAAATGCTCTGAAATAAAATACATTAAAAATTTTCAGTTCCTCAGTTGCAGTGGCCACATTTCAAGTGGTCAAAAAGCACACACAGCTGGAGGCAACCGGATTGGACAGCAGTAGGAACTACATTCCCATAATTGCAGAAAGTTCTATTAAGGACTAGGCAGGGTGGCTCAAGCCTACAATCCTACCACTCTGGGAGGCCAACGCAGGTGGATTGCTTGAGCTCAGGAGTTCCAGACCAGCCTAAGCAAGAGTGGGACCTCATCTCTACTAAAAACAGAAAAACCTGACTCAGTGCCTGTAGCACAGTGGTTACAGCGCTTGCCACATACACTGAGACTGGCAGGTTCGAATCCAGCCTGGGTCAGCTAAGCAAAAGTGACAAAAAAATAGTCCCAGCTACTTGGGAGAGTGAGGCAAGAGAATCACTTAAACCTGAGAGTTTGAGGTTGCTGTGAGCTGTGATGCCATAGCACTCTACAAATGGCGACATAGTGAGACTGTCTCAAATAAATAAAGACAGAAAAACTAGCAGGGCGTTGTTGCAGGTGTCTGTAGTCCCAGCTACTTGGGAGGATGAGGCAAGGGGATTGCTTGAGCCCAAGAGTTTGAGGTTGCTATGAGCTATGATAGCTATGATGCCACAGTTCTCTACCCAGGGTGACAGACTGAGACTCTGTTTCAAAAAAAAAGAAAGTTCTATTGATAATTGGGGCCAGATCATTCTCTGAGGTGAGGCTGTCCTGGGCACTGGAGGGTGCTGAGCCTCATCCCTGGCCTCCACCTGCTCCATGCCAGGAGCACCCCCAACCCAGCTGTGACAACCACAAATGTCCCCAGACGTTACCAAATGGCAGGGGGTGGTGTGGTAGAATCTGTGCAATTAAGGAACACTTATTCTTATCTAGACTTTGCTCTTTATGTGCCTTTTCCCCCAGCAACTCCCCTGGGAACTCTAATTATCTTACAGAAGAGACTTTCTGGAAGGGCAGCAGGGAAACCCCTAACCTCCACTCCATACAAAGGAGGCAAGAGGTTGACCAGGTCCCCAGGCAGGAACCCTGCCCTGATACTCACGGCTTTCCCCCAGGGATGCTGGGCAGGGAGGAAGAGATGGACGACCCTCGAAGATGTGGGTGTGATTCAAATGCCATCTGTCAGAATGCCAGAGGAAGTATCACAAGGAGGTGACTCCATCCACTTCTGTGCTCTCCCAGGCCTACTCACCATGTCCCTCTCTGTTTATCAGCCCCTTCCCAAGGAAGCAGAAAGGCTCTCTCCTCTACTACAGATGGGAAAGCTGAAGTTTTTACTGAGAGAATCCCAAGGTCTCTGTCCAGAGAATCCTAGAACCCCAGGGATGGAAGGTCCTGAAGAATTATCCTTCTCATACTGACTTGCTCTAGAACAGGGGTCTCCATACTATAGCCTTCAGAACAAATCCAGCAAACTGTCAGTCTTTGTACATAATCTCCTAGGGCCAAAGCACACTGCTTCTACTCCTCATACAGCTTAATCATAGTTGCTTTTTCCACAGTTACAAGTGCTGATTTGTATTAAGCTTGTGGGGCTACTGAGACCCACAGATTGTCTTCCTACACATACTTGCTGAGCCAAGCCTCCCTTCTCTTTCTCCATTCCTTTGTCTCTCTTTATGTAGCTAGTTTCTCTTCCCAGCCCCCAATTAGTCCCCCTCACCCTGGGGACTCACCATCGGGGCGCGTCCATACACCACAGAGCTGCTGACCTGGGGGGACAGGTGTAGGCTGACGTAGGAGCTAGGCACAGAGAGTTCCCCGTTGAGGGTGCTGTGGGAGCCTAGGTTGAAGGACGTGGTGAAGGGACTGGACAGAGTCAGGGGATTCCTCAGGGCTGAGCAAGAAGAGTCAAGGACAGGTCTTCAGACACCCAGGATTCAGATCCTGCTTCCCACTGCCTTGGGCTCTCCTTGGCTAGTCATTCAGAGTTTTCATGCATCCCACATTGGTCATATTATGTGATACCTCCAGTCCTCTGTATATATTGTTCTTCTCGCTGACATGACACCCTTTCTTTTAGTTAGTGAACTCCTACAAATCCTTCAAAACCCAAGTGTCCAATCAACTTCTCAGAAACATCCTGAGCATCCCCACTGCCAACCTCCAGCCTTGCCATCTTGGGTTTGACCTTCTACCCTTGCCCTGATTATACAGGACTGGGAGTTTTGAGGTCTGGGTCTCTTCCCCTGACACTCATAAGGTTCTAAGACAAAGTTCTTTTGGAACCCCAAAACTGGCACAGAGCCTGGCCATAAGAAAAGATAAGTGGCTCGGCGCCTATAGCTCAACCGGCTAAGGCGCCAGCCACGTACACCTAAGGTGGCGGGTTCGAATCCCCAGCCCGGACCCGCCAAACAACAATGATGGCTGCAACCAAAAAAATGGCCAGGTGTTGTGGCGGGCGCCTGTAGTCCTAGCTACTTGGGAGGCAGAGGCAGGAGACTGGCTTGAGCCCAGGAGTTGGAGGTTGCTGTGAGCTGTAATGCCACGGCACTCTGCCCAGGGGGACAGCTTGAGGCCCTGTCTAAAAAAAAAAAAAAAAAGAAAAGATAAGTATTGTCAGGGCGGCGCCTGTGGCTCAAAGGAGTAGGGTGCCAGCCCCATATGCCGGAGTTGGCAGGCTCAAACCCAGCCCCAGCCAAAAACTGAAAAAAAAAAGTATTGTCATTCCCCAGATTACTTATGGGGAAACTGAGACTTGAAGAGAGTTGGGTCACTTGCCCAAGGTTACCAGCTGGTGAGTGGCTAAGTTTGGCCTGAAACTCAAACTGTCTGACTTCAAAACTTTATTTTTCCAGTGTACTAGGCTGAAGTACCCCCAAATAAGTCACTTCCATTATCTGGGTCTCAGTTTCCCTAACTGCCAAGCTAAGACAATGAGTAAACTTGGGCCAAAGTGAGACAGCATCTAGCTTAGAGTCAAGAAAGGGCCAAAGGCCAGGTGCCCTGGTTCATGCCTATAATCCTAGCACTCTGGGAGGCCGAGGCAGGTGGACTGCTTAAGCTGAGGAGTTTGAGACCAGCCTGAGCATGAGAGAGATCCCATCTCTACTGAAAAATAGAAAAAACTAAATGGGCATGGTGGTGTGTGTTTTATAGTCCCAGCTACTCAGGAGACTGAGGCAAGATCACTCAAGCCCAGGACTTTGAGGTTGCTGTGAGCTAATGTTAGGCCACAGGGCAGTAAGGAGGCCCTAAAACAATGAAAACATTCTACCCGCATATCAGACTCTTGCACCTGGAGGCAACACCCTACCCTCTCCCTACTCCCTCATACCTGCGCTAAAAATAACCTCGCAAAAAGTCCCCAGAGCAAAACTGCCCAGCAACCCTGCAAGTTATGAATTCCCCAATCACCAACCGCCTCATACCCTAACGCCCCCTCACCCCCACTGCATGTAGTTTTTCGCTTTAAAAGCAGCTTGTAACAGCCTCTCAGGGTTCCTTCCCCCTTGTGGCTGAGGAACCCTGACACGCCAGCAATAAACCTGCCTCTTGCTTTTTGCATCGATTTGTGATTGTGAGTGGTCTTTGGGTAGGCGACCCCCGGGGTGGGCACAACACTATGACCCTACAGCACTCTATCCAGGGTAACAAAGTAAGACTCTGTCTCAAAAACTAAAAAAAAGGCTGGGCACAGTGGCTCACACCTATAATCCTAGCACTCTGGGAGGCCGAGGTGGGTGAATTGCCTGAGCTCACAGGTTGAGACCAGCCTGAGCAAGAGCGACAACCTGCCTCTAAAAATAGCCAGGCACTGTGGGCAGGTGCCTATAGTCCCAGCTACGTGGGGAGACTGAGGCAAGAGATCACTTAAGCCCAAGAGTTTGAGGTTGCTGTGAGCCATGGCACTCTACCGAGGGTGACATAGTGAGACTCTATCTCAAAAAAAAAAATTGGCTTGGGCAGCGTCATGGCTCGGTGAGTAGGGTGCTAACCACATATACTGAGGGTGGTGGGTTCAAACCTGGCTCCGGCCAAACTGCAACAAAAAAATAGCTGGGCATTGTGCTGGGCACCTGTAGTCCCAGCTACTCGGGAGGCTGAGGCAAGAGAATCGCCTAAGCCCAAGAGCTGGAGGTTGTTATGATGCCACAGCACTCTACCAAGG